ACACAGATGACGTATGTACAGATTGTGATGAGTTGTATGAGCCCCTAATAAAATGATTATTTAAAAAAAAAACCTCAGCTTAAAAAAAATTACCAGTGTATTGAAGAATAAAATCCACATTATTATAACACACCAAAAAATTTGGTGAGATATAATATATGGCTTTTTTTTTGCTTATGTTTTGGTGTTTTATATAAAAAGCCATTGTTGAAAACAAGATCTTGAAGTATTTATTACCCCTATGTTTTCCAATGGTTTTGTGTTTTTAGATCTTGTATTTTGGTATTTGATCCATTTTAAAGTAGTTGTAAATGGTGGGACGTATGGGCCTGAGTTTCTTCTGTTTGTATAAATTCAGGTATCCTAGATTCAATAAGAAACTATTCTTTTCGCATTGGATGGTTTTACACCTTTGAAGCTCAAGTTGACCAGAGATGGATGGATTTATTTCTTGGTTTCAATTCTATTCCATTGGTCTGTATGTCTATTATTACACCAGTACAGACAGTTTTGATGACTGTAGGTTTATAATATGATTTGAAATTTGGAAGTGAGTTTTCTTGTTCTTTTTCAAGATTACTTTTGACTGTTTGGGAGTCCTTTTAATTCCATTTAAGTTTGAAGATTAACTTTTTCATTTTTGCAAAAAAGGATTGGAATTTTGATGAGTATTGCATTGAATCTATAGATTTCTTTAGATCATGTTGACATTGTAACAATATTAAGCCTTATGATCCATGAGCATGGAATATCCTTCCATTTATTTAGATCTTTAAGATCTTGTAGTATTTATAGTTTGCAATGTTAAAGTCTTTCACCTTTCTGGTTAAATTGAGTTGTAGATGTTTTATTCTTGTCTAATAAATGGTTTCATAAATTGAGTTATTGCCTTAATTTCCTTTTCAGATGACTAATTGCTAATGTATTAAAGTTTTACATTTGTATGTGTTATTTCCTGCCACTTAGCTGGATCCATTTAACAGAACGAATAGCTTTTTGTGAACATTTGGTATCTTTAAGGTACTGTAGTATGTTACCCATTTAAAAGAATAGTTGCATTTCTCCCTCTCCAATTTAAATACCATTTATTTTTATTTCTGTCTGTCTATCTAGAACTCAAAGCACTATATTGAATAGCAATGCTTCATATTGTTCCTAGCTCAAGGGTGATGTTTCCAGGTTTTCTTCCTAAGTATTTAGTTGTGGGTTTTCTTCATAAATACATTTGATCAGATTGATGAATTCCCTTCATGCGTAAATTGTCCAGTGCTTTTTTCATCATGAGAGGGTTTTGAATTTTATCAAAAGTCTTCTATGCATTAATTGATACAATTATGTGGTGCTTTTCTTTTGTTCTTAATGTAGTACCTTATTTTGATTTGCTAATGTTGACCACCATTTCTTTCATAGGATCAATCCCATTTATCATGTTGTCTAATCCTTTTACAATGCTCTTGGATTCAATTTCCCAGCTTTTTTGTGTGTGGGGGAGCTAGGGAAGAGACATGCACGTCGTTTCATTCTTTCATGGAGTCCCTCTACTTAGAATAGCTGCACAGAATAATTTACAAATAAAGTCTACTCCCTCTTTAGCTAGAGACCAGGATCCCGAGGATGTGGGTTGGTTGCCCTAGCTTTAAGATGGTTTCTGAGCCTGGGATGGGCAGCAAGGATAAAACCAAGCCTTATGAAAGAACAAAGTTTTCCTACCATTTTGACATCACCATTTTTATTGATGTAGCATTCACTTGGTTATAACCTTTGACTAGTTTCCACGGTTTTAATAAAGTTGGTTCTAGGAGTTCTGTTTATTTGTATGTTGTTTCTGTAGGGAGGTTTTTTTAAGTCCCAATAATGTTATGTAGTTGTAAACCTGAGTTAAAATGTGTTTTCTTCTTGTTTGGCAGTGTAAGACCAATGGAATGCAAGCCTTTCCTCAAGGTCTTAATGAAAAGCAGCAACATCAGTCTCCAGTTAAGAAAGGTAAAGTTTTACTGTACTCCCCAAATTTAATTTGAGGATGTCTTAGCATCATGTAAAGGTTAATATTACATTGCTGTTTGAGTGAAAAGATTTTATTGCATTTTTGTAGGCTGATTTTTACCTACTAGTTAGGCTATAGGGTTCACTGGTGTAAGGCAGAGACTAGAAGAACAATGGTTTAAATAAGATAGATAGTTTATTGCATGTGTTTTGACCTTGTATCTTGTCAGTTTTCTCAATCCATTTGTTAATTCTTAAACCTGTCTCATGAACTCTTTGAGGTTTTCTATGTATGAGAAAGCTTAAAAAATTCATGGAAGGAGGAAAACGGAGTTAATAATAATGAGTATAATTAAGAAGAAAATGTTCTAAAGTGAATTGTGATGATTGTACAGCTCCTTTTGATATGATTAAACCATTGAATTGTATGATACATAAATTATATGTCAATAAAACTGTTATAAGTTCATGGAAAAATGAAATGAAAAGACAATGGAATTTTCCCCAAAACGTCAGGCCTCCCTATATGGGATCATGTCATCTGTGGAAGGGGAGGTGCATGTCCTCCTTCCCTGTTTTCATACGTCTGTCTTTGTTCCAAGCCCAGTAGTCTGGCTAGTATTTCTGTAACATTACTGAATAGCAGTGATTAGCATTAATTCTGATCTTAATGAGAAACCGCTCCGTTTTTGTGAAACATGTGTGCTGTGGGTTTCTCATAAATTCACATTATTATATTGAGAATATTTTCTTCTATTCCTAGCATGTTGAATATTTTTATAATTATAAGGATATAGAATTTTGCCAAATGTTTTTTGGTGCATTGATTTAGGTAATAATGTGGTTCTTTTCATTGGCTTTGTGTCTGTTGAGAGACACTGCTTCTTCTTGAGCTAGTGCAGAGAGTTCATGCAGTTCAAGAAATTTGTCAATTTTCTCATAACTTAGCTAACATTTTTTGCTATACATAGTATTCTCTAAAATTATTTTTTTCTGCTGTGCAACCACCACTCGTAACCAATTCAAGAACGGTCACATCACTTAAAAAAACCCAACTCTACCCATGAAATAACCACTCTCCATTTGCTCCTCTAGCTAGCCCTTAATAATCACTAACCTGCTTTCTGTCTCTGGATTTGCCTATTTTTGACATTTCTTATAAATGAAATCATACAATATTTGCCATTTTGTGTCTGGTTTCTTTCATAAGTGTAATATTTTTGATGTACAGCTACCTCATTGTAGCATGTATCAATACCTAATTACATTTTATGGATGAATAATTTATCAGTTAAAGTACAGATTGGTTGTTTTTTACTGTTTGTCCATAATGAGTGGTTATGATGAAACCTGATCACCACCCATAAATCCTCCCCAACCTGCATGAACCTTTTTGGCTTTCATTCTTATATGCACTGTATCGCTATACTTCAAAAACACCACAAGCAATGTTAACAGTTCTCACTTTACTTTATAAAACTTGGAAGGAAAAGGGTGGTCTGTTATATTTATCCAGCTATTGACCATCTTTGTTGCCTGTATCCTTGAAGATAAAAATGTAAGTTATGATTTCCCTCCAGTGAAGGAACACCCTTAGCTTTTGCTCAGCGTTCATATCCTAAAAGGCATTTTCACTGGCAACAATTATGATTTGTTGATTCTTTCCTCTTAGTACTTTAAAGGTTTTGCTCCCTTGTCTTCTATCCTAATAGACGGCCTATCTTGGTTTAGTTTCTGGTGTTGATTTCTGATGAGAAAAATGCTGACATTTGAGTCATTCTACCCTGTGGAAGATGGAAGCTTTGTCTTCAAACTTGTCCACCACTAGCTAGCATAATATACTGGGCACATTATCCTTAAATTGGATCTATTTTCATTAACTGTATAGTAATACAATTTTTTAAAACCAAGTAGGCTTATTTAGTGTACATTTGGTGGGATCCAGTTTGCCCAGTATGTGTTAGCTGTTTTTATAGCCTGATACAGACAATCCTAGGGCACTTGCCATGGACTTCCAACAGCTGTCTTTTAAATTTTTTTAAAACTTTCCTCCACTTTTCAAAAGACAACATTCATTATTTCATACATAATAGACACTTAAGGTACTACCTTCAGAAGTAAATGAGCCAAAAAGTAATCTTGGAGAATAAATTGTTTTATAACACTGTAACTAATGCTTAATATCTACAGAAAGAATTAAATACAGTAGAGATTTCCTGTTGAAGCTCTCAAGTGTTTCCATCTGCAGAATAAAACCAGACTTTCTGCCCGATCATCCCATTGTACTTCAAAAACCAGTAAGGAGTTTGTAAATTTTCATATTATATAATTTCACAGTATTGTCTCTAACATTTTCATTTGATCTTATCTCTAGATTTTTAACCTTTTCTTACTATAATGTATAATTCAGAAGTAGTATATATATCTAAATATGTAATAAAACCAATTATTATAAAGTACTTTTCTACTCATTAAAAATTGAATAGGATAGCTGTATTCTGTTTAAGAAACGTTTCTCTATTAAAAGATTATGAAAATATCATCTCATTATTTTCTAAAACCTTATTGTTTTGTTTTTCAGCTTATTATTAGGTGCCACAGATTGACTTTGACTCATAGCAACCCCTGGCCTAACAGAGTGAAACACTGCTCTGCCCGCACCATCCTCACAGTCATCATTGTGCTTGCTAGTGGTAGCCCACTGTGGTAGCTAGTGTCTGTCTTACTGAGGGCCTTCTCCCTAGTTTTGCTAATCCTCTACCTAATTGAACCAAGCATTATGCCCTGCCTTCTCCAGTGACTAGTGTCTCCTGATAACATTTCCAAAGTACATGAGATAAAGTCTCAAAATCCTCTCTTCTAAGGAGATTTCTGCTATCCTTCTTTTAAGATGGATTTATTTGTTGCACTGGCAGCCCATAGTACAATGTTCTTTGTCAACACCATGAATCAAATGCATGAATTCCTTTTTAGTCTTCCTTATTCACTGGCTAGCTTTGTATGGATATGAAAATAACATGGCTTTCCTTAGGCATGCCTTAGTCCGCAAAGTGACATCTTAGCTTTGTGAGACATTAAAGAGACTTTGCCCATTTGATCTGAATGCTGCTTCCATGGGTGTTGATTGTGGATCCAAGGAAAAGGAGATCCTTGATGACAAATTCAATATTTTCTGTTTGTCATGACGTTGCTTATTGGTCCAGTCATTAGAATGTTTGTCTCATGTTGCAGTGTAGCTGATACTGAAGACCATCTTTGATCTTCATCAGTGCTTCAAGTCCTCTTCGATTTCAGCCAACACGATGGTGTCACCTGCATTTTGCAGGCTGTTAATGTATCTCCTTCCAATCCTGATATGCTGTGTTACTCAAAAAGCTAACTTCATGATGTAGTTCAGCTTTTTGGATGATTTGCTCAGCACATACAGATTGGATAGGTAAGGAGAAAGGATATAACTCTGACACCCAGTATTTCATTATTTTAAACCACACAGTATTCCCTTATTCCTTTAAAACAACTGTTCTACATGATCAACATTAAATGGTCTGAAAATCCCATTATTGTCAATGTTATCCATAGTTTTTTATGATCTACACAGTCAAATGCCTTTGCATAGTCAATAAAACACAGGTAAACATCTTTCTAGTATTCTCTGCTTTCAGCCAAAATTCATTTAAGAAATAAGTCATATTGAAAGATCATGAAAAATACTCTCTCCCATATTATCTTCTAATATTATTGTTTTTCAACTTGAGGTTTATAATACACTGGGATTGATTTCTCTCTGTGATATATGAAGCGTAAGGTTCAAATTTAATTTTTTTCCTATTCAAATATCTATTTGTCTTGAAATTAATTTTTGAAAATATAGTTCGTTCTTTGCTGTATTTGATGGAAATCAAATGACTAAATCCTTGAAGCTTGCTTGTACTGGCTAGTTTGTTTGGGGGCTCTTTATTTTACTCAGTGAGCTCCTTAATACAATTAAGCAAGTCACCCAAGATATTCCTCAAAATATGTTTGTTCTAGTTCATATTTCTGGGTTAACTTGTCAATTTCCACAAAAAATTTTTAAAAATCCATAAATCTTTTTGGATATTGATTGGAAATGACAAAGGTTTGGGTATTGGATGAATTCAAATTAGACCTCTCTACTCTATGTACTGATAGTTCAGATTAAAGATCTTACCTTCTTTCAGTCACAGTTTGTACTGTTGTGAATAAGAGTGATAAAATTCCTCACGTCTGTAAATGAAGTAAATGAACTAGATTTTAAATAAGATAATATACGACAGTGACTAGTATGGTACTCTCTTCTGTTAAGTGCTCCACAAATGTTGTTTTCTACCCCTTTTATGGCTGCTGCTTCCCACCAAATGGAAGAGATCCATATTTGTGCCCATTCTATAACTTGATGACTCATCAGAATATGGGAATTAAAACAATATCACTATTATCATGTACAAGTAAAATTTTGTTGAAGATAACTTTTAAATGTTTGCAAACAGTACAATAACAAGAAGTTACCAGAAATTCGAGTCAGATGCAGAAAAGGATTGGAGTGTGGGGTGTATCACTGCTGATATCTGATGGATCTTGGCTGAAAGCAGAGAATATCAGAAAGGTGCTTATTTGTGTTTTATTGATTATTCAAAGACATTTCCACTGTGTGAATCTTAACAAACTGGGTAACATTACCAAGAATGGAAATTTCTTAATTAGACTCATGCAGAATTTGTTAACAGTCCAAGAATCAGAACAAAGGAATACTGCATGATTTAACATTAGGAAAGGTATGCATTAATGTTGTACCCTTTCACCATAGTTATTGACTCTATATGCCAAATGAATAATCTGAAGAAAATGATTATATGAAAAGAACACAGCATCAGGATTGGCGGAAGGCTCATTAACAACCTGTGGATATGTAGATGGCACCACCTTATTTGTTGAAAGCCCAGGGAACTTGAGAAGCATACACTGAAGGAAATTTGAGGCATTTGAATTACGGTATTGATGAAGACCATTGAAAGTATCATGGACTGCTAGAAGAACCAACACATTTGTCTTGAAGTATACAGTTTCTTAGAAGCAAGGATGGTAAGACTGGACATACTTAGGACCATTTATTATCAGAGAGACCAATTCATGGATTGTCAACGAAAAAGAGAAAGACTATTAAGGAGATAGATTGACAGGGTGGTTAGTAACAATGGACTAACGGGACTAATATAACCACAATTGTTTGGATGGTGCAGGACTGGCCAGTGTTTTATTTTGTTGTACATAGAATTGCTGGCTGGAGTCCTAGTGGAACTATTGAGTAAGCACTGGACAACTTACCCACAAGGTTGGCAGTTCAAACTCACCTGCTGCTCCCTGGGAGAAAAAAATGAGGCTGTTCCTGTAAAAACATATTACCTCAGAAACTTATCTAGAGGCACTATGAGTTGAAGTCAGTTTGGCACTTTTAATAACTTACATTTTGAACCGAATTTGATTTGTATTTAGTGCTTTCTGGTAGCATGTGACTCAGTGTGTCTAGGTCTGCTGGCAGGGCTCAAGTAAGAAGTATAGATTACCCTTCTGTGTTTTGGGGATATTAGTAACCCTTTTGGAATGCATAGTTATTTTAGCTCCCTTATAATTTTTGAAATTTATCTTTTCAATAATGTAGAAAAATTATTTTAACTCCCCATTTTATGAGCCTCTAGCCAATTCTTTTTAAAATTATTAAAATTAGGAATTTTAAAATGTTTTCATAATACCTTACACAAAAAGGATATTTGATATTACATTATTTTCTCCTATTAAAAGGTAGAACCAATTCCTAGAAACATATAACCTTTAGTATATAAGAATAAATTTAAAATGTAATGCAACAAAATATAATCACTTCATTTGTAGATTTTACCATCTTAAATAACATTTTATTTTTTTAATTAAAAGTTTGTCATACACATTGTTTGAATAGACCTGGTACATTGAGTTTTCTTTTGATTTATTAATAACAATTAAAATACAATAAACATTTAAAAATAAAATACATATGCTCCATTAAACACAGAAAAACTGTTATTTGACAAATTCCAACGATTTTAATAGTTTCTATAGTAACATGCATTTGGATGAGTAAACAGTAGGTTCATAGTATTTGGTTTCATAAACTAGTAAAAATCATATTCAGTCTAAATGATACAATACTTTCTCTTTTATATTACAGGAAAACAACCAAAGTTTTAATTAGCATTTTAAGAACAGACAAATTTGAAGATACAGAATTATTTGTTTTATATTTTGGACACCGACAAATGAAGTGGATCTAGTAATAATAACTGCAACGGATTGGCTATCCAATTTATTTTTAATTTTGATGGTTGACTATTTGGTTTTTCCTAAGATGAGAAAGATATTTTAAGCTATAAGGAATTTTCTAATCAGTTTCAGCTTTGCAGGCAGTTACCGGAATAAATATGGAAGTGACACTGGAAAGTAAAAATTGTGTTAGTGAAGTGGGAAGACTGTAATTTGCATGCTACTTGCAATTTTTTTCTTTTTCATCACTTGTAATAATGGAATGGAAAAGCAAGCTGTAAAGATTCTCAAATATAAAGTATTTGCTACAACATATATATGGCATATAATTTTACTTGGTGATGTTGCCTTTGTTCCATTTCCCACTGATTTCATAGCAGTTCTTAAAACAATACATGGGTATCATTGAAGGTGGAAGGGAGACTTTTTTAATAGTCATTTCTGATCAGACATGATTGAACTGTAGGTTTATGACTAACATAATTATTAGCAGAAATCGGCAATTTGGGAATAGTAGTAGTAAATGGAACTAAAGTTGATGAAGAGTAAGTAGCCTCTGAGTCACTATTCAGACCATCTGAACAGTAGTTGAGTAATTGCAAAAACAACACTGATAACGTTTTTGACATTTGTAAACAATTCAGGTGTATTACATTTCAGTTCTGCAATTTCTTATGTCAGTGACATGAATGGATAGTGAATTTGGGGTGTTAATATTTTAGCTCTTAGAAATTTTATCCAATAAATCTGCAATTTCTTTATCTCATGGGATATGACACAAAAAGAAGAAGAAAAGACTTAACAAAGGTAAGTGTAAACACTCTGTACTTCTGATCTCTCAGCTCCGGGCTCTATTGGCAAGGAATTAAAAGGCCACCATTTTGGTGGACTGTTATCTCTTTCACTGAATCCTGGACTCTTAAAACCAGTACCTTCTGGTCACTGGATTTTGAGTTCATTACCTACATTAAAGCTTTAGTCCAGGTAGGTTTTCTACCTTGGTCTTTCACTACCTCATTTTTATATTATTCCCTCTCCCTTCTCCCCCAATTGGATTCTTTTGTAAATGGAAAAAACTTCATGAATCATAATTTTTGGTTAATTTAAGATGCAATATTTATATCTAGGTTCACAGACCAGTTTTTTATTTTTTATTGTGTAGTAGTTTTCTTTTATGTTATAGGGCCAAGTATATGTGTGTATGTTAACACACACACACATACTTTCTCACACATATATACATACGTGCAAAAGGTTGGGTCAGAATCACCATAAAATTAAAATGTCTTTGCTTTATAATTTTCAACGTTCATTTGGTACTGGTTTAAAACATGACAGATCCTATTTCCAATTTGAAAACTAGAGAGCCCTTCCACTTAATCACCACTGTTAGTAAAGGTAGAATCCTTTTAAAGACATGCTACTATACTGAAAAACTTAGTGTACTTTTCTAAATATACTGAAATGGACCAATCAGAGCACTATTTTGATTGGTTATGATTTTTTTGTATTTACTGGAAACATCTGTAACCAACATTTTAAGAAGAGGTTGTATGTCAAAAGTTTCCTAGGTTTCAAAGAAACTTGATCCTTTCTTACTGTATATAATCAGAGTGAAACTTCAAAAACTGTTTATTATTTTGCCTTTGTATACATGTGTAGCTTATTTGAATAATCACTGTACATCTTCATTAATGTTACTTGCTTTATAAATAAAGTGTTGAGCCAGTTCTTGTTTTACAGTGTTTGTCGACTTTAGAAATGAGAAACAAAGCAAAACGGCCATCAAGTTGGTTTGACTCATAGTGACCCTGTAGGAGGACAGGTTAGAGCTGCCCTGTGGGTGCCCAAGGCTGTCTTTGCAGAAGCAGACTGCTACATCTTACTCCCAGGAGGCGACTAGTGAGTTTGTACTGCCAACCTGGTAGTAGCTGGATACTTGACCAATGCATCACCTGGGTCCAGATTATGTGTGTGTGTCAAATTTTACTCTCAATGTCTAGTAGAAAAAACTTAGAAGGAAACAAAAATCTTTTTATTTAGATCAGATGAGAGCTAAGGGCATGCAATAGTATATAGAAACAGTTCCACAAATTAGTTTGAGAAAGTTGTTTAATGTAAATTTTGTAATTAGAAGATAACAATTTAACTTCTTGTTTTTCTGAGTTTCCAAAACAGTGAAAAGATAGGTGGGAAATGCACTTTTTTTCCCTTCAGAAGGAATGGAATTTGGACTAGAGAATAACATCGATAAATGTCTGTATACATTAGTCCACTAGAAGGGTTTATAATAAAAACAGATTTTTATTCAAAGCATGAGTTTCATAGCAGAGTTTCATTTAAAAATTATAGTTATTCTAGGATTGAAACTAGGAAAATATATAGTCTATGACCAGTACTTTCCCTATTTTGTGATTTCCTTAAAGTTTTTATAAATCTGTTTGGAGGAAGTACAGCCACGATGGCTCCTTAGACGCAAGGGTGGTGAGACTTCATCTCATGCATTTTGGACGCGTTCTCAGGAGAGGACAATCCCTGGAAAAGGGCACGGTGGTTCGCAGTGTAGAGAGTAAGCGAAAAGGAGGAAGGCCCTTAGGAGAGACAGGGACACAGTGGCTGCAACCGATTGCGAACCCAGCCTGGGCAGCGCGTCCGGTGGTTGCAGTAGGGTTGCTATGCATTGGAGCGGACTTGAGGACAGCTACTAAAGACTTACATTTTTTACTCAGTTTAAAAATGGTTTTAAATGTATTTTTAGTTAAGTGAAAATGTCGATTTTTCTTAAGAGTTAATCATCTAGGTCACACACCCAAACAATAGGCCACAAAACTTGAGCTAGATTCTTACAAAGTAAAACTTTGCTTTATTCTTGTTATTTTTAAACTTATGTACAGGTGATTATGATGCTAATAAATGATATAGTAGTGTTACCTTACTAAATGGTACCTTAACTTATCACACAATTGTTTGTTTACTGTGAAAAACTAGTTTGTAACTTGACAAATGAATAGAAACTTGAATGACTTAAATGACTTAAACTTGAATGAATTAAAGACTTTATGCCTATCCATTATCTTTTTGAGTAATATAAAATGAATTCGATGAGATGAGTTGGAAATTGAATAAGCATTATTGGAGAATAAACTTCACTCACAGACAAGCAGCTACATACAATCACGAAACATCTATTTAACACTTCACGATAGGTAACAGTCTATCAAATCTGTCCTATAAATTAATCACCCTTCAGTTTCCACGCTATGCATTTGTTCTTCGTCATAAGAATTTTGTTTGCACAATTTTTCCATTAAAAGGTGTTAAGGTACTAAAATAATTATCAAATACTGAGAATAACAGTGAACACTGAAAATTGAGCTAAAATTCACATGAATGTATAAATTAGGTAAAGCAATTTTCAAGAGTGCACGTCTTAAGAGTATATTTAACAAAAGTATACAGTAGATTAACAACCACAGAGAATTGTCTAATTCACACTTAAAATAAGAACAGTTGTTTTGCACTTGAACTATAAAGAAAATGTCTTAAGAATGTTTAGTTGTTGTTCAGGATCCACCATGAAGCTGAAAAGAGAAAAAATACTGAAGATAACTACAATCTACATGTTCAAAGTTTCTTTTCTCTGCTAATATCCTCCCCACCCCACCCCCCTTTTTTTGGACATAGAAACTCAGGACCCAATTAATTTAGGGAACATAGCATTCTTTTCTTAAATCAGGAAGTTCAACTTTTATTTGGTGGGCACAGGTGAAGCAGCACAGGGCTACCAAGGCCTTCATGCATGCGGGGCCCGCCACTAGTCCGCGGGGCCACGGTGAGGGATGAGCACAGTGTTCTAAAAAGGCCATTTTCCTCCCACTTCTTGTCTACAGAATCACTTATCTTTCTAGTCATTTCCTGACTACTTGAAATATGGTTACACGCTTTCTATTTGATTATTGTTAGCATCATTTCTCATAGTACTTGGTAATCTACTTAAAATTCTATTTCATTTGAATAAAATGTTAGTTTATAATGTAGGTGCTTTTGAAATATATATGATATGTTTACATAACGATTTCAGAAGATTGTACAACCAAGTGGGTGTGCTGAGTACTACTTTTTACTTATGTCTACAGTGTAAATTTGAAAATCTTTTTAATATAAATATCTCAGTAACAAGTCTATGGGAAAGAATTAAAATCAGTAAAATGATGTGAGAAACAAAAATGAAAAGGAATAAAATTTGTTTTCAAAGCCTTCAATTTGTTGGCCAAAGGATCTTTTTTTCTTACATAATCACATATTTATCCCATAACTATCTGATTTTCTTTGCAGTTTTTTTTTTTTGTCTCTGTGAGGTTTGGATCTTGGTTGCCGTCTTCCAATACACCTAATTTTCCTTACACATTCTTGATTTTATGTTTGAGAATTCCTAAGAATATATTGTACTTTGGATTTTTCTATGGATATATTCTAGTTGCTTCTATGGATATATTCTAGTTGCTTCGTTTCTTGAAAACAACTTAATACAAATAATTTGTGAATGATAAAATCTATGAATGTTTTGTTTCTAAATTCAACTGCTATTTTTCTTTTGAGGTTTTGTTTTAGGTCTAAAATGTGCAGCTGATAACATTTTATTTTTGCCATTCAGGACCATACAACATGTTAAATGCACAGCACTGGTTATATGGGAGATCACAGTTATCTTGCAGGACAGCAGAGCTACCCTACAGGGTAAACAAAGCAGTAACTTGTAATGGGAGTAGACTGCCACATCTTTATCTCATGAAGCAATAACTGGATTCAAACCATGGACCTTTCAGCTGAGTACATTACACACTGCATCACCAGGGCCAGGGAAGAAAAGTAGATCCAATTCTATTCTCAAATTTTAATGTAAATTACAAACTGCTCTGAGTGAGGAAGATAAATATGTAGCAACGACATGAATAGTACAATGGAAGTTAAGTGACCTACAATCAGGCCAGATACATTTTCCTGTCTTTGCTATTTTTATTTGCCTACACCCCAAAACCCATTCGCCTCCCATTCTACTCCTTGCATGTTCCTGTATTCTCTTGGAAAGACTCGGCACAGTAAGAGCAAGCTGGCTCATATATTTTGAACCATTTTAGGCAGTTAAAGAATATATATGATGATATACCTACAAATGACTAATGTCGGAACTACTTGGAAGTTTTTCTGACAAAACCAGTGCGACGTAGTGATATCAACTACTTCGTTTGGAAAATACGTGTTTTCTGGTATTGTACTCAGCAGTACCATTGCAGCTGGGCAGGGAAAGGGGATGTGAAGGTAAAAGACATTTCACTCTCTACACAAAGGCAACAGGAGCCATAGTGGCAGAAATGACTTGTACTCTTTCCATTTATACTGGTCAAGTTATGTATGATTTAACTGAATTTTTTTAAAAGAAAGTAAATTCAAGGCAATTACCACAGTCTGTTCTTCATATCCATAATCACCATATTCTCACTTGGACCTTTCTTAAAGCTATGATGCACCCTAAATAAAACTTCATGAGTCAAACGAGACTTCAACCATATATTGAAAACTTTACTATTTGAGATAAACAAGCTCTCTAAATCTATCTGTAGTACAAATAAAACCATCTTTAAGAACTATGGTAAATTTGAGTCTATACTTGGAGCTCAGTCTGAGACTGAGAACCATCCAATTGCATTTGAAGGCATTCATACCGGATCTCCTCCATCTCGTGTAGCTTCAATTTCAGAATTAAAAAAATTTTAATTCTGTTCTCCAATCCAAATCTTTTTAAAAGTCCCACAATATATGATACCATTCTCTCTAGTCTCCTTTTCCCCAATTAAAAAAAACCATGGAAAACAGATTTTTTTCCACAAAATTTTGGGACCACCTCTTATATTGACCACTGAAAACAAAATTTCACTGACAAACTCCATTCCAACTCATTGCAATCTTGTATGGAGTTTGGGGGACTAAATCTTTATGGGGGCAAATAGCCTCATCTTTCTCCCAATAGATGACTGGTGGGTTTGAACCACCAACCTTGAGGTTGGCAGCCCAATTCCTAAGCCACAGCATTTTCAGGAGTTCTGATATTATTAAAATATTTATAACCATTCTAATCCCATTTATGGACATCATTTTGTTCAGTACACTGAATTGAAATATGAAACGATTTGCAAAGTATTGATGTATCATGATTTGACTTTTAATTAAAGTCTGTTAAAGTTTCAAGGTGACTAGTAAGTGACTTGCATTTAATTTGAATACAAATTTTGATCAACTAAAATCTATTGACAAAAACATATACAGCTCTTATTCCCCGCCTCACCCTTTTCAAGACATATTAAACCCTAAAGATAGCACTATTGGTAAAATATGAGGGGAAAAAGAATATGCATCCTTTTAAAAGGAAAGAGAATACAGAAGCACATAGAAGCATGTGATCCCAGGATAATTACCAGGAACGAGCATAGTAGATGTGAGCTCTGGTGTTTCCAAGAAATCCACGTTACTTCTTTGGAATGTCTTGCTATAATTCATCTGAAGATGTCTGTAAGTTAACACAGTGCATTTTTAATGATCATTTTCTGAAACAAAATACAGTAAGGATCAACTTCAATCAACATGGCATGAATCTGAACGATTTGGATTGCCTACAGACTTTGCGCCCCCAAATAGATTGTGGCTAATTTAACAAATGACATAAGAAATAAAAGATCTTTTAAAAAAATGTAATCCTCTAAAAGATAAAACAATAGGAGGTAGATTATAATTACAGCCGAAGTTTAAATAGGTAATTTTCTTGGCTGGATGGTGTTTTATACAAAACAAGATAGTTAAGAGAATAAAGAGAAATCATCCCAGAATATAGGTCTAGAAACACTGAGTCTAATAACTTGCCTTTAACTTTCTATTCTGCCTGAAATTCTATAGGTCTCAACATGCCTTAATTATACCGGAAAGTGCCTTCAATATGTTCACAAAAATAGAACTTTTAGCTGAAATAAGTAAAAATGGAAATTCCAAACATTCAAATAATGTCTGTAAGCGCATTTAACACCCACCTAAACATGGGCTTATTGAAGAGCTATACAAGTGTCTTTGGCATTTAAAACCACTGGAACTGTTTTCTATAACAGATAACAAGTCTTGGTCCCATTTTTCTAATCGATCTTAAATTTGCTAGTCATTTTAATTTCACAGAAATAAATTCATTTTATCTTTGCTAAGCAAGGTCCTAAATTTCCTCTTTATTTTCAGGGTTTTAAAGACATGCAGCCAAGTTGTTAGGCCTTGATATTGTTAACCATTATTTCTGGATTTATTTGTAAAAAGACACTATGGAAATTGAGCAGGTAAAAATTTTTTCTGGTTCTCACATTTCGACATCCTTTGTCTCACTCCTTGGCTTGGGCACCAGGGCGCCTCTCTCAATCTTTCCTACTCGCACCAGTAAAAGGTCTACGATTTCAAGTGGAACCATGACCATAGGATGTGTGCTCCAAGAGGAAAGTGTAGTTTCCAGGCCATTAGGGAAATGTGCGGGAGTCAAGATAATGAAGACATGGGTCCAGTATTTAGGAGAGGTAAAGGGTTTTACAATGAGTTTTTCCTACAAGCCCAAAAGTTGTGTCATGTATATTGCTGACAGAGAGGCTTCACAAAAACCATCCATTGCTGTGAAATTACCTGTTCCACACACTACTGTTCTCCCAGAACTCATAAATCATGTAGCGAGATTCATTTGAAAGCTTCTGAATAGAAATACTAGAATGGGGGAAAAAAAGCTTAATTATCCACAGGAAGTTGAAAGACAAGAAACAACGTGATTTTTATAATCTCAATAAGCATAAAACAGTGTTATGAAAGTGGAACAATTTTGTCCAGAATTAATTCAACATTGTTTGCTTATTGCAACTTTTTAAAAAATTGAAATGTTTCATAGAATTATTCCATTATCTTCTGTGGCACCACACCATCTCAGTATAGTACAAATACAATGGTAGAATTTAATTCACTACTCATTCATTCAAAATTATTTATTGAGCATCCGTTGTACCAGGGTTCAATATATGCATGCAAGCCACTGTCCCTGCCCTCAACTCTAGTTCTTTGTAAGGAGTCCTTTCAATCTCCATGGCTCCTACCAGATTCTTGATGGTATACCCCTACGTCCTGCTTGGAGAGCTTTTGTCTCGGGCCCTGTTCTACACCACCTAAGTCACCTGGACCACACACTGCAGCTGTACGGCAGACTCTGCGATGGATGGTTCCCTCCCTCTCACCCTCAATTATGCCTCAGTCCAGACTTGAGAGTTGATGGATCTGCCATAATTTGACCTTTTATTCCTCCTTCACATCCAGCTCTCCCATAACGTGAATATGACTGGCGGCATACATTGCAGGCCTTGGCTGAATGAAGAGAGGAATGACTGGAAAGAGAAGCTGAGGTGACGAGTAGATTTAATCCTGTAGCAATGAGGAGCATTGATGTTTTTTCTTTTAATTTACTGCTTTTTAATTCCTACAAGAAAGAATTGCTATTCTTTTTCCACGTTCACTTTTCTTGAGTGAATTTCCACTCCTAGCGACCCCATGTGATCAGTCGAACTGCCGCTCATGGTTTCTCAGCCATCTGCACCGAAGCCGATTGGCAGTTCTCTCTCCCATGGAGCCACTGGGTGGGTGCAAGCTGCCAAACACACAGCCAAGTATGACCTGGTGATTGCTGTGGATTAAAAGATCCTCCTGAAAACAGTGTGAGGTCTGATGGGGGGTGGGGGGCAGTTCATACAAAGCATAGAGAAAAACCAGAGATTTGAGAAACCGCTTAAGCGATAGCTATATGTTAAAGTTGAAAACTAGGACACTATTGAGATGGTTGAGTAGAAGGTATCGGGCTAATATCCACTACGTTTGAACCCATTCTAGGTAGACCAGCTTTTCAGCTCTGGTCCTCCCTGACAACTAAAAAGGAGGAGACAGATTTATAAACTCAAGGGAAAGTGAGAGAAAAGCGTAAAGGTGCCTTAAAAACAAATTGATTCCCCAAATTTAGCTTGTTCAATCTAATGTTTCACAATCTATTCAGACTATGAAGCAAAATGTGAGGCTAGAAAGGCAAGAAAGTTGAGAAGACCGATAACAGAGAACATGCTTTTGAAAGATACCTCGAGCAAACAAAGCAAGCCAACCCCCTTGCCTTAGCGTGGATTCTGAACTGGGAAATAGTCACGGTTACTGTCCGGTTTGGATTTACCTAAATGTGAACAGCAGGTGGCAGAAGCTAAACACAGAAATGTTACTACTGCTTTATTTTTGATACCTCTTCCTGTGGTTTGTCGCAGGGGCGTTTACCACAGGGTGCTTCAGGGTTCTTCATAGGGTTGTTTATGTAGTTTGGTCCATTATATAAAGGAGAAAATATTGTTATTAGCTCAAATTCAGAATTTCTGGGGAAAACTAATGTGGAATAATAGGAATTTGAAAATAAAACAAGATTTTTCTAATGAGGAGTTGATAGCCCACTGTGGTGGACGATTCAAAAAATTATTTGCAAATTAAGACACAATTCTCAAAGGTTAAGGGTAGTTCAGCCCTTGGCAGTGAGAGGAGCTAAGGCCTACTGCCTAAACCGACTAGATCAGATCTCATAATGCTCTCATTGCAGAGCTTGGGGTCGAGCACAGCGTTCCTAGCTTTTAGTTCAAGTTCTTTTTGTTTCTTAAAAGAAAAATGTTCCTGAAGTATGACTAAACTGTTTTTCTCTCATTTTGTTGGGAAAAGTTTCTTCCCCCTAAAATAATTCTGCATTTTTATGTGAAGCTTATAAAAATGCAGATTCCCTGAATCCACCCTCACCTATTGTCTGGTGTCAGCCTGGAACCCACAGTTTTACAAGCTCCTGGGTGATTTTGACGTGGACAATACATTTTGAGACAAGACTTACAGAAACATGACCTTAAATGTTCATTTATCCACGCATTTAGAACCTTCAGACACTTCATCTTAAGTGATATAAACTTAAGAATTCAGATAAATTTTACTTCCATTACAAAATGCTTATTTTTGGTTAAAAAAAAGAAGCTGTATTAGTCTAGGTACTTTAGAGAAACAAATCCACAGAAACTCATATTTAAGAGAGAGCTTTATATAAAAGTTAAGTGCCCATCAAGAAAACATCACAACCCAGTACTGCCCAAGCCCACAAGTCCAACATTAACCCATTAACCTATAATGTGTCCAACACCAATCCACAAAGTCCTCCTCCATCTCACAAAACACAC